CATGAAGCCGATCCCAGCAGGAAAAGAGTTCATCCAAGTAGGGAATGGTGCCTACCTGCGCGAGCAATGTGTTGGTAGCATCAACATGGCATTTCACATGCCTGGTCCTTCGGGCGAGACCGATTTTTGCGTGCAGATGTCGGACGTGTGTGTAATCCCCGGTATCACGTTCAATCTGTTTTCTCTGCACCATACGCAGCGTAGGCAGAAGATTACGTTGGACGAGAATGGCGTGCATCTTTTCAATGGCCAGCTTTCCTTTGCCTACTCCGATGTAGGATGTTCTCTTTGGGCCACTCGCTTGCCTCCCACGTATACCGGTAGTGCTGTGACCCTCGGTCCCAATGCCCTCCCTCGTGTGTCTCCCCAAGCTCCCTCGCCTAGCGTTGGAACAGGCCTTGTTGTGGCGAACAAACACAGGAGCGGGCACACCTGCGAGTACGAGCTTCCAGTCCGCCGGTCGAGTCGCTGCCGGTGTTGTACCTTCGAGTTCGAGTGCAAGTCCGAGCTTCCAGTCTGCCGGTGGTGCCACTGCCGGTGTTGTACCTTCGAGTTCGAGTGCGTTCCGAGCTTCCAGTCCGCCGGTGGTGCCACTGCCGGTGTTGTACCTTCGAGTTCGAGTGCGAGTCCGAGCTTCCCATCCGCCACTTCCGGTGTAGTGCTTCCGCGTTGTGCATTCCCGCCCATGGACGTAGATGTAGTGCCAACGACTATTGCCGACTTCCAGCCTGTAATTACGGCTGCCGTAGCACGTCTGAGATTGTTTCTCCCTCCGTCGTTGACCCGAGCCATTTTTGTGAAGTTGTGATCAACCCCCTCGTCCCCCAGGACCATTTGCCTCTCATGGATATGAGCATGTTCCTTGATGTTGGCCTGATGGATGGAAAAGACTCGGTCCCACAGGGTGATTTTTTTCCGGATGCCCTTGATGTTTGCGATTCCGCAACACCCCCTCCCCCCGCGTTTCCCGTGATGAGTGATGACTTGGAGTGCCTGAAAGGTTGTGTTGCTGGATGCAATGAGCAGCAAACCGTCGTTCCCCCCTCCCTCTCGCATGCCTTGGCGATCATCGCCCCCGGTGCTTCCCCATTTTCGATAGGAAAATCCACGCCCACCATCGATATTAATTTGTTCCATGCCTCCACCGGCCATGTCAACGAATTCTTGATGCGTGAAACGGCCAAGCAGCAGGGCGTACGATTGGTGGGGGAGATGCAGCCGTGTGTGGGCTGCGTGGAAGCGAAGGGTAGGCGGGCCCCGGTGCCGCGGCGTGGCACCCGCGCGGCGGTACCGTTCGGCAAAATCCACATCGACCTCACGGGCCCGTTCTCTGACGCGTTGGACGGCTCCCGGTACCTGATCATGTTCGTGGACAGCGCATCGCGGTGGCAACGGGGGTACGGGATGCGGGCCAAGAGCCACACCCTGAAGTTCGTGCAGCGGTTCCTCGCCGACATGAACGGCATGGGCACTCCGGGTTGTTTCCGCATGGACAACGGCGGCGAGTTCACCGGCTCCGCGTTCACCTCGTTCTGCGACGCTGCTGGCATTCGGCGCGAGTACACCGCCCCCGACACCCCCAAGCAAAACGAGGTGGTCGAGAGCGCCATATGGCGCGCCATGAAGGGGGGCCACGCCGCGCGCCGCCACATCCTCGCCATGGGCCACGTCGACCTCTCCTCCATCCCCAACGTCGGCGTCAACGGACACCGCCTGTGGCTCGCGTCGGCGCTGTGGGCATCCGCCTGCTTCAACCGCTCGGCGACGAAGGCCAACCTGGGCTGGATGTCGCCGTTCGAGGCGTTCTTCGGCCGGAAACCGCCCCTCACCGTCGTCCCTTTTTTCCAGGAGGGGATGATGCGCGTGAAGCGGGCTACCAAGGCGGACGTCCAATCCGCGCGGTGCTTACCTGCACGGCGCCAACAACCACTCGACGTCTACCGCTGTCATTCTTCGCGCTGACACCGGTCGCCTCGCCCTCACCAACAACGTCGTGTGGGTAAACCGCCGGGCAGGAGCGCCGGCACCGGTGCCGGGCATCGGGGGGGGTTCTTCGGTCACCGCGGCGCCCTCGCCGGCCGCCGCCGTACCTGCGGCCGATGCCGCACCGCCGCCGCCCCCGCTATCCAGGACGTACAGGTACACCCCGCTTGCACCAGCGACCACCGCACCGCTGCCGTCCGCTTCTCCGCCGATCTTCACAGGATCATCAGCCCCGTCGCCGATCTCCGACGCCCCACCATCAGCCCCACCGTCGACCGCAGCCACGCCGCCCCGTTCGCCCCCGGGCCTGCCGCCGCAGCCCGCCAGCGCCGCCGCCCCCGTTCCTCCGCACCCGCCGCTCTCGAAAGGAGCCGTCAAGGAGTTGGGACGAGAGGACACGAGGGTCCACGGCCGCACGCGCGGCGATGGAGTGCGGTTCATGGGAGATCAACAACAACCGCCGTCAGGTGGCGGCGCCGCTCTCCACCACCGCCTTGGACTGTTAGCGATGATGGACAAGGACTCCTTCATCTCGTCGCTGGCCACTCGCGAGGCCGTCGACCAAGGACGGTGTGACCCACCGCCTCCGCCGCCGCCGGATCCGAGCTTCGGAGGCCGTGAGAGCGGGGGGGCAGTGGGAGCTGGGGGGCCCGTGGATTCACGGGGGGGGGGGGAGACCGCACATGTTCGCCTCGATGTTCGCCACCCGCGAGGACGTGGACGCTGCTCTTCGCGCCGAGCGTCCTCCTGACAAGATGCCGGACCTTCCTCACTGCCTCGCCAGCGACCTCCGAGTGCCGAAAACGTTGAAGGAGGCCATGCGGTCTCAACACTCAGAGTTGTGGGATGATGCAGTCGGTCGAGAGTTTTTCGGTTTGCTGGATGCAGGAACTTTTAGTCCGGTGTAGCAACCAGTAGAGAACGCCATCAATGCCAAGTGGGTTTTTAACTGTAAAGCAGACGAGTACGGATGGCCGACAAAATTCAAGGCAAGACTTGTAGCACGGGGGGACATGCAGAGGGCTTCGATTGATTTTGGAGAATTGTTTGCACCCACCGTATCAGTGTCTAGTGTGCGCTTGTTGGCAGCATTAGCATGTGAGCAGAATCTTGACTTGTGCCATTTCGATATTCAGCAGGCTTTTGTGCAGTCTGAGCTTGATGAGGATGTTTTCATGCGCTTACCGCAGGGTTGTGGTAGGTTGTCTGGCCTGATCGTGAAGCTGTGCAAGAGTCTGTATGGTGTGAAGCAGGCATCACGACATTGGCATGCGCACCTGACGAGGTGTTTGTTACTTTTAGGTTTTTTGTATTGTCTGGCGGATGCATGTGTTTTTCGATTGATGGAGGAGGGACGCGTGATCATGATCATCGTGGTCCACGTGGATGACATTTTTGCCGTAGGGCAGAAGGAGAGGTGTGACAAGTTTGGCAGGGATCTCAACGAGATGATCCCCGTGAAGAACCTTGGAGAGTTGAGGTGGTACTCCGCGTGCTTTTACGAGAGAGACGTAGAGAGAGGGCTGCTGAAGATTTCACAACAGAGGTTCGCCGAAGAGGTGGCTGCAGAGTATGGCGTTGAGTGGGGGCAGAGTGTGCCTCTGCCGGTTAGCGTTAAGCTCACCGACTTTGACATGAATGAAGCGAGTGCTGACGTCCCTTTTCGCGAGTTGGTAGGATCCCTGATGTGGTTGGCCACTTAAACAAGGCCGGACATCGCGAATGCAGTTCGAGCAGTAGCGCGGTATTGCGCGTCTCCCAAGATGGTGCACTGGAAGGCAGCACTCGGTATTTTAGAGGGGCGTCGTGACAGGTATGAGCATGCAGGTGTTTGTGGATGCCGACTATCCAAGCAAGGCGGCAGACCGGAGGTCCGTATCAGGGGGGCTAGTGATGTGTGTGTGGGGGTGTGTGACTTGGTTTTCCCGAACGCAGAAATGCGTCACCCTTTCCACCACGGAAGCAGAGTATGTGGCAATTGCCGACGTCTTGAAGGAAGTGTTGTTCTTAAGGCAGGTGTGGCGTTTTATGTTGCCAGATGCGGGTATGCCGTGCATCCCGGTGTTCGAGGATAATCAAGGAGCGATTCAGATTGCGCACAACCCGATCACGAACTCCAACTCGAAGCACATCGATGTACGGCATCACTTTATCAGGGAGCTGGTAGAGAGGAAGGAGATTTCAATCACTCATGTGCCGACGCAATTCCAGCATGCAGACTTCTTGACGAAGGCTATTAGCAACGAGTCTTTTGCGTTGCACCGTGACTTTGTGATGAACTTGCAGTGAAGGAAGTGTTTTGGGGTCGATTCGTATTCTGTAGTGGAGGGAGAAAGAGAAAGACGAGATTGGACAAGAGAAAGAGAGAGTCTGGTGAAGGTCGTAGGAGTTTTGGTTGTGTTGGTATTTGTTTCTTGATTGTCTTTGAGGAGTTTTTCTTGTTTTGGAGATGGTGGTAACGGTGAGGATGATATTGATATTTTGCCAGCGCATGACGATGCATACGAGCAGGGGGGCTATCATGTTATGTATATACTCACAGGATGGTCGTCGTGACGTGATACATTTCTTGTTATTAGTATGGGAAAAAATAAAAAAAAGATGGCTCGATTTTTGTATTTCTACAGCAGTATGGACCAGACGCCGACTGCACATAGAAGTCGTACGAGTGTCGACTTAGTTGTGCTGTCACAGCATCTTCCACGCACTTCTACCAGTGCTGGTTTGTTGATTGGAGTCTTGTAGGTTGAGATACAGCAGTGGGATTCTCGGGTTGTGGAGGCAAAAGTGAACCCCACCAAAAAAAATGCATACATAGCTAGATTACTGCTGTGCTTTTGCTACATACAGCAGTATGGGCTATAGACACCGAACGACGTCCGCGTACTACGGCAGCGACCTAACTGGATGGGATACTTCCTGTCACGGCGAACCATAGTACAATGCGATGCAAATATCCGTTCGTGTGTCGTGCGGCTGCCACATGTGTCGACGACAGGTACACGTAAAGCTCTCGCCATGTTGTCGTTACCGCGTAGGAGGACCCCTCGGAGATCTTCCACATGGTGCTACAACGACAGCAGTACTACTGTACATAGATGTCGTAGGAGAGTGGAGTTGTGCTGTCACGGCGTCTGCCACGCACTCTCCTACCGGTGCTTGTGTCGATTGGAGTCTGGTAGGCCGAAATACAAGAGTGGGATGGGTTCCGGGTTGTGGAAGCAAACCTGCCTGCAACAACAGAGAAGGCGGTGTTCTATTTCCTACGGAATCCCGCTAAACGTTTTTTTTTTGCGACGTGTGGTTGCATATTTCTTTGCCACTGCCGAAAAAGACCGCTGGATTTTTACGCAGTATCCATCTTTCGCATTTATCATTTTACACCGAACGACGCAGGGCGGGTCGACCTTCATCATTGTTGTTGTTGTTATTGTTGTTGTTGTCTTCACATTAAAAACCGTTCCGATCTCTCTCTACCCAGTACCTTCATATGTATGTAATGTCCATACTTGCTTGTGGATTATACCTGTTGGAAATTGTGATCCCTACATTCCGAGAGAGCCATAGTCTAGGTCGGCATCCGGCCTTTTCATTTTTTGTACAAGTATGCACTTTTCTTCTTGTGAAGTTTTGACGTTGCGCTTGCCATCGTCGCTTAAGTATTTGTGTCTTGAAACCTTCTCAGTCGGCCTTCAAACTTCTTGTTGATAAGTCTCCGTGGTAACTTCTCCGCGCATGAGTCAAATGCGGTTGGTTATGACCTGCGCTTTGACTTTCACGATGGGTATTTTACCTCCCCGTCTTGCAATGATTGGTGAGTACCTGCGTTATACGGATCGAAGGATGGTTCCACGACGCAAACGTCGACGTCTCCTTTTTTTTTTTTTTGTCCTTCGCACTCCTTCCTTGCCGCGGTTTTCACTCGGACTTCGAACTTCGAACGTGGGGTGCAATTTCCTCTCTTCGTACCTTCCTCGTCGGCCTTCTCCACGTTATGTACATACATAAGGTATACCTCGATTTTTCGACTTTTCGATTCCGATAGACAATACTACGGACTGACAGGTCCCTTTCACCCCCAACGGGACCGCGCGCTCGTCGAGTGCCGAAATTCTTCACCACTTCCTTGCCTCTCCCAACACCGTCCCTTCTTCCCGCCCCAACAAATCCTCTCCCCTTCTTCTTCTTCTTTCCTCCCTCCCGGACACTCACCACCATCCTTCCTGGATGTTGGCCCCCAGCCCCATTGGGGGGCGGGGGGCCAATCCTTAACCCTAGTTAGATATACTCGTAGCATAGCATGGTGGGTGATATATTACTTATTGATGTACAGTAGTGACGAGTGCGGAGGAACAAGAAGTTTCTTCATATTTTCCTTGGGAGTGTGATGCAATGGTGGAGATTCATGGACATTCGTTAGGTACTTTGAGCGTGATGAGCGTGACCCGTGACTCCATGCCGTGACCGATTGACGAGCTGAAGCACGCCCCCGATGACCACTATACGTTTTACAACACGTTTTCCTATACGTCCCTACCCTACCACGGCCCGTCATGGCCCAGCTGCTCTACACTCCCAACACAAAGAACTGAGCCACCCGAATTATCGATCAGATCTATCTATCTGCGGGATTGTGGTACCGAAACTACCGCAGTCCCAACGCGTCTTGCACATTTGTAAGCTTGCCGTATAAGCTTTCGCTGTCATCTCCGTACGACATCATCAATCTGCGGCATTGTCGTACCGATGTTGCCGCCCGTACGCGTCTTGCACATTTATTTGTAAAGATGGCCATAAAAGTACACGCTCTTCGACGTTTGTATGTAGCTTGCTGTCTTCTACGCGTACCTCGGGTGTAGTCTAGAGGAGTGTGCCCTCTTGTAGCGGGTGCACACCCTTCAAACAAGTACCATGTTCGTCGAAGAATATATTTTTCCAAACAACAATTACAGTACGGCTTCGTTCCTCTCCTTTCAAACCTCAACCCGCACAAACTTGCCATCGCCATGCAACCTACGAGCGCAGCGGCGACCCCCGATAGCGGTCGTCCGCGAAGCGCCCTTGTATTGACTACAACTACTGCTGCTCCTCGCACTTCGTGGTTCATTGTAGCAAGTCGGGATATGGCAGGCGAGGGTACACCGAACAAATCAAATGCCGACCAACGACCAACGCCCTACACGTGCAAATGTACATGCGTAGAAATGCCATACCTTCCGCACGCTGCACAATGAAGCTCGTTACACTGCTTCCACTTTGCTGTACCGGCAGTGCTTGCCGTTCCGGAGATGGTCGCTTTGTCCAGCAGCCGCGGCAGGCGGCAAGCGGCAGTCTACATATATATGCGTTGTAGCACGGCGGTACCCTCGGCAGCAGCAGGTACTTGCGGCACAAGCAAGCACCCAGCAGATGACGGAGGACGAAGTTCGCTTACTTCCTTCCCCTCCACTCCTCCAAAAATCCAAAAAGACCCCATTGCGGTCGTCCTGCTACGGGTGACTGCTGTGTGCATCATGCAATGCACGCTGTGTGTGTGTGTGCTACAGCGGTACTGTCATGCGTTGGCCAATGAGAATAAGGCGCCCAAACCGCATAAATATGCTGATGGATTTGGATGGATCGATATAGACGGCGTTGCCAGTTGAGTGCACCAGACCACGCTGTGCTGCTGCTGCTACTGCTGCTCCTGCGTATAAGGTTAGAGTTATGCAGTATACACGAACCATCGCGGGACATACGCGACATAATCAACCAGGCTGCGTGCTGTCAACTACTACTTGTTGTTCATGCGGGTGGACATTTTCCACGAGATTCCACCCTCGACATGAAGTTATGGAATTATTGCCATGGAAACCACGGAAAAATTCCATGGAGGGCCATGGAAATTGCCATGGAATATTCCATGGAAAATGCCACGGAGTCCATGGAGCTCCATGGAATATTCCACGGAGCCCCATGGAATTCCGTGGCATTTTCCATGGAGTACCATGGAGTGCCATGGAACGTTCCATGGAGCTCCATGGAACTCCATGGGGCTCCATGGAACCCCATGGAATATTGAATATTCCTTGGAGTTCCATGGAGTGACAAATGGTGGTGTGAACGATTGCCACCACGGTAAATTCCGTACGGTAACTGGTTACCACGGTAATTTTATTGTACGGCAACCAGCCACCACGGTAATGCACAGGAATGTGCATGTTTTTACGGTGGTAGTAACTGGTCTCCACGGTAATTTTCTTGTACGGTAACCAGATTAGTCCCCACAGTATAGTAGTGCACAGAAACACGCTTTCTTTGTTACGGCGGTAGTACAACTTGTACATACAGTTTACCACACCGCCACACACACCATGGCACGTCGGACCCTGTTTCGTTTGCTTGCTGTCAAGTGTTCCTTCAGGGTGTGGTCGCTGCACACCAAACGTGTGCGACACATTCATTGACCGAGCATCACACGTCCGTTAACCAAACCGACCGGTGGCATAAAAAGAAGGGTGAAAACCAGACAGCATATGTATCCACTTTTATTGCATAGAAAGGCTCCCGTGGCCTCAAGACGACGACGACGTAATAAGTCCATCATGCGCCAAGTAGTAATATCTCATCAACACGACAGGCAACAAGGAAGCGCCGCCTTCCTCATCCACAGAGAAACGAACGGTGGAATTATTCAACGGTTCAACAAACAATGCAACTGTGGTGTTTCTGTGCGGTACTTACTATAGATGATGAGTTTTGTGTTGCTTTTACGATAATATACTCACTCCGTGGTAGCTCGAAAGCACGGGAATTCCGATGTTTCCGCGGTATTTTTTGTAAGGTAATGGGGCACTTCAATTTGTTCGTTAACGGTTTGGGCGTTAACGGTAAAATCAATTTATCACGGAAACGATTTGGATGGGAACGGTAATAATTCTCACTTTTCACGGGATCACGGGAAACGGTAATTAATTACCGTGGTTTTAATGCGGTAAAATTACCGCGGAGAAATTAAAGAGGACAGCCCTGCCTTTTTGTCATCCACAACCACGAGACAGGCACCAACCAGCGCACAACAAGAAGAAAGGCAATATATAGCAAACTGGCGTAGGCATACTGTACATCCATCCGCTACTGTGTGACATGATGATGTATAATGATATATTTAATTAGTACATAACAAGATGAGAGAGGACTCCGCGACAGAGAAAGAGACACCCTCGCTCGCTCCCATTTTTCCCGTTAGGATTTATTTGTCGTCGTTTCGTCACGCCGTCACGCACGAAATCTAATCCGTTCAAAGGATCAAAGGAAAAGCGGACCACGGATTGGAGGCAGCCCTGCAAGAGCAGGGCAATTTATTTTTTGAATGCCATCATGTTTTCTCTGTTTCTCAGATACCAGTTGTTGGTGCGCATCAAAATATTTGTCTGGCCACGATGCTTTTTCACCTCCTCGGTATTAGAAAAACGAATCATGTCAGGATTTCACATGAACAATGGTCGTATGTATTCGTTCATATCATTTCGCGCGATTATGTCTGTCACGTGGTTACAAGTTCTACAGGCCCATGTCAACGGTAACCAAAGTATTTAGTTGTCGATCATTGTATCTCCACTCAAGGTTTTTCAATCCTGACACTTGCCATTTTGGATGAAAACTAAAATAATGTTGTCACCTAATGAAATGGTCCTATTGGTACATTGTCACATTTACGCTGGAGAGTAAATGTCCTGTCCTTGTTGTACACTTTGTCACATTTACATCAGAAGTAAATGGCATGTCCTTGTCATATCCTTTGTCCATACATTTTGGGAACAACATATTGTTGGATAAGTTTGTTTGTCAACACTAACATTTAGTGTTTGTCTTGTCA